GCCTCAAAAATCGCATTATTACGATTCCGTTCAACATTTTTTTTTATATTTTTATGTAAATTTTTTAAGCTTAAACCGTTTTGTCATTTGAGGGGATTTTTTCAAAAAAACATCTTTAAGAAACTATTTTTATTCATAAAAAACTCCATTATTGGAGGCATTTTCAAATCAGTCCAGCTCGCTTAAATCTTAATATTTTTCCGAAATATTTTGGTGGACGTAAAATATAAAAGGTTTTATAATTCCAATGGAAAAACAGTATCGATTTTTTTTGTATGTGGGGTGATGCAGTCTAATGTATGTATATATGTATATACATGTGCATGTATTTTGTCTGTACAGAGAAAAATAAATAGAGAGGATAGTACAATCTTTTGTCCCGCAGAAACAAAAAACATCTAAGCACTTTTTAACATCCCCAAAATAGTTTGCTACTTTTAGCAGTTATGCTGTATACCTGCACGAAATATAATTGGTGAAAAAATGTATTTGTAGATTGTTGTTTAAGGACAAATTTACATATGTATGTATAAGTGTATGTAGATATGGGAAAATTTGCGTAAACAAAGAATAGAGGCCGGTCCACATACCTACAACTTTAGCGTCCAATTTTCGATGGCCCACTTGAGAGATTTTCACTCACAAAGCTTCCACAAAGCATTAATATTTGCGTGAGACCGACCGTTAGTTCAATTGTTGCACAGTATATTTATGTCATACGGCGTATGACAAGTGTTGTGCATGTACCTGATACAATATGTGTTAGCTATATGCATAGCAGTTCATTTTTATTAATTATATTTTTTGCTTATAATATGAGAATTGGGTCATGTTGAGTGTGATCGGCTATTATGAACAGAAAGTGTGCTCAAGCAATTTTGCATATACAAATAACTCCTGACGAAACAAAATATGTACAATGTGTCACCAAAAGTTTTTTGAGTGTTAATAGTGAGGAATCACATTGCACATGAATACCATAAATCATTATGAGCAATAGTAGAAATTAAGTAGGTCAATTAAGTATATTGAACTTAGAGTTTGTATTTTTAAGCTATATAAACAAATGAAAGTTGAAATAAAGGACAATCATTTTTGAGTATCGAAACGATACAGATCTCATCATTTTAACAGAGCGGCACTCCTGCCATTAATACTGAAAGTGCGGCATTCGTGCCATATACATAATTTGGCGAGTCACGCCTAAATGACAATTCTGCGTATCCTTTCATCTGACATCCTTTCTTTGCCCTATTGATACCATGTCCTACCAAACCCCATACAACATGCGTCTATCTTGTACAACACAAGCCATAGATAAGCTGACCAACCGTTCTCCTTTGAGGAGGAAAAAATTTGGGCCTTTCTCTAGATATTGGCGCGTGAGTGATTATGGCTCACGCTCACGCACACTGACGTTCTGTTATATTTTTTTTCAATCACGTTCACGCACGCTCACAACGCCTAGTTGTTTAATCACGCGCGCTCACGCACGCTTTTTCACGAACATTTTATTCAAATTGCATTTTTTCAATTGCAATAGCCTTTCATAAAAATAGGCTTTATCGCACAAGTTGATATTCTTACAAAAACTTGCCAACGCCTTGCCTGGGATGAATGCACTATTAATTTCTTTTTACAAATTTCCTAGAAAAGAATTCATCAATATTCATCCAGTGTAATTTGAAAATGACATTAGCTCATATTTTTGTTTACAAATTGTTTTTGTAGAGGTTTACACCAAGCAATCGTGTACGTCTGTCTTCTAGAATGCTGCTGGTATGTTTAAAAGTAGCCTTGAAAGGCTTCAAAGAAATGGAAAATCATTAACTTTCTTCCAAAATTTTAAAACATCGTCACAACTTTTGTTTTCTGATTTTTTAAAA